CATTAGGGTCTCGTGTTCTTTTTTAAATAATTTTAATAAATTCAATTTTTTCCCATTATTTTTGTGAATGTCATTATATGAAATGTTCATGTTTGTAGTTGTGCTTTGAAAACTTGTGAAATGCAGAACCCACGACCATGAATATGCTAAACGTTAACAGTTTGAGATTTGTTTTGAATGCAAAGTGCGTTACAAATCAAATGTATTATTATATGATTATAATTATCTGTGTTAAGTTGTTTTTATTCATTTTTAAAGAATCAAATGTTCTATCAAAAAGTTTGGCTTCCGTTAAATTAGATTTCCATTAATGATATTTTTGTTGCTTGAATTCACCTTCATCAACTCTAGTCAGTTGAGCTCATTTGTGCCTGACTCACCAAAGAGACAAGACTGCCGACCCTGTTGTTATCCCTTTCTTCAACTGACAAATCTGAATCATGTGTAATGTGGCCGTGGAGAGGAGAGAAATAAATTCCTGTTTCTACTCAGACTCTCATTGGCCTGTGGTACATTTATTGTAACTTAAGTTAAATATTAACAGAATTTATTAATGGATTTAACAGAGTAACATTTTTTATTAACTGTGCCCAATTCTGGTGAATGTAATGCCAATAAAGCATTTTTCAGTGCGACTTAGACTTCTGGCCCTTTTATCTTACAAAAGTGACAAAAGCCCAATGAGGCTATTAAGAGCAACGTTTTTTAACTCTCTCCATCTTGGACATAATTTACATTATTTATAAATGTACAACTTTAGAACTGTTCATACTAAACTCTATTTTATACACAATAAATCCTACAACTAATGTAGGCTTTACAACAAACCTTAAAACCTGTGATATGTTTTATATATTGATATAACTCAGTGACTAAAGTCAGCAATCCAGTGGAGTCTCAGTCGTAATATTTAAAAATCACTATTTTGTCAGAAATTGCTTTCTTTTGCTAATGGATACTTAGAATGTCTGCAACATAACTCTGGAAAAAAAAAAAAGGTTTCTGAAATGATGCTATTTTGTCTCACTATGTACCGACCGCGTACATATTAACCACAGACATAATGTTGATGTCTATCTACTCATCCCACTCTCAGAAGAGAGATTATATGTGTATCCAAAATGTTAAACTGTATATTTAACAGTGCTAATTTAATGTAAGCAATTTACCTACAATGTTTGTTGTAAAGTGGTTGTATTCTGTCCCTATTGTGCCTCTGTGGCAGACTGGACACTTTAAAGTGTGTAATTTGATTACTTGAAAATGCTGCTCCATTACTTGGATCTTGCCTTGGTCTGGACACTTCTTTAAGGAATACTCTGAAAACTGGAAAAAGATCTCTACCATCTGCAGACACAGAGAGTGGTACACATTAAAAATTAGCCCAAGAAAGTCTTTAACACTGTCAAATGTATTTTAATTTAACACGGAAGACATTTAATTTGTTCTTACCTTATCAGCTACCACTCCCTTCTTTTTCACTGGATCTCCATAAAGGCCTAGAATAAAGACACAAAACATTTACTTTTATGTTGTAGCTGTGGTGAAGCACAAAATGACTCAAATCTTACAGACAGCTACACCTAGTTAACTAATATGTCTCTTCTTTGGCTGTTGCCAACTCGAAATTAGCTGAGCTGCAATTGAAATCGTGTAAAAGTTGCAATATAAATAATACTTTTTTAGTGTAGCCTGGGGAGCTGTTCGGATCAGCAGCTCTAGAGGCTCTTGAACGGTCTATTCAGGCTAGACAGACCAGGCAGCAGCTCTCTGGTCTCAGCAGGAGCTTGCCTCCCCATGTTAGGCCTAGGAGTACTGTGGTCCCTCCTCAGTGCCGGTTTCAGTCCCTAGCTGGTGCCAGTGGTCACCAGCAGCCTCAGTGCCCAGCACGGCATCCTGGCCGGCGTGCAGCCTAGGACTTTCGGGTCCCCGATCGCCTGCCCTCCAGGCAGCCTCGGACCTGGGACTCAAATCGTCCCCCCCCCCCCCAGCTCTCTCTCCCCTACAATCCCAGGACATGAAGGTCCTCCCCTATCTGGACAACTGGCTGGTGTGTGCGCCGTCGCAGTCACAGGTAGCCGGGACACCGCAGCCCTCATTTCCCATGTGGCCCAGCTGGGCCTCAGGGTGAACTCCGAGAAGAGCTGCCATATTCCTCCCAGACCATCACCTTTCTCGGTGTGGATCTGGATACTTCACGTATGATCTATCGCGTCAGGGTGGACAGCATCCTGGGCCTCCTTCTTCTCTGTGACTCGATGACTGCCAGAGCTTCTGGTCACTCGGAATCATTGTGTCTCGCGAGATCTGAAGGAACAGATCCTCGAATGACACTGGGAGATATAGACCTGTCGGGGTCATACGTGACTTTGTTGGTATAGCTACTCGACCTGCGCATGCACGATGTGGTATCATTCAGTGCTTAAAGCACCACCTCTAGCGGTCATCCAGGATTCAAAGAACCGTAGTTACATACGTAACTTTCGTTTGCCTCCTCAAAGCAAGTGGGCGACCATCATATTTTATCTGTGCATCCTTCTTGTACCCAGTTCACTCCAGATGGTTCCAAGGTAACATTATGCCCCAATGAGAATTATTTGCCGAAGGTTATCCATTCAGCCCAGTTCCATGCCTTTTGAGCTATTGAGCTTCTGACTTTCTTCCTTTGCATCTGAGGATCAAAGGAGGTTACATTTCCTGTGTCCTGAACGTGTGCTACACAACTACATAGACCGCAATCAGAGTGTCAATTATGTGACCTGCTGTTTGTTTGTTTTGCTATAATGACATAATACTTGTGTTGTACCTGGTTCCTCTCCTTTAGGGAACAGAAGTTTTAGTCATGACATTTTGTTTCCAGTTGTGTAAGATGTATTATACCCACCAACCACAGCCTTAGCTGTTCCCTCATGGAAGGACCAGGCCAAAGAGAGGGCCTCAACAAAATGCTCCTGCTTCAACAGACAGTCTATGCGCTGGACAAAAAAAGAGACATAAGGAACATAGATCAATTAAAATGCAAGATGTTGTTTGTCCAGTGGTGAAAACTAAAATCATTCATAGTACAATGGATGTTAATAATTTTTTTCCACTCTTAAAAATCTTCCAGTTATACATTTTCTGTCTGAAAAGTAATACACAGTATGCATGTGTATCAACTAGTCTGTCAAATATAAATATTGTTGTATTGTGATAGTTTAGATATTTAAGTCCATTTTAACAATGTTAATCAATTCTTAACGTTGTCTTGATTTGGAAATCAATTGAATGCAAAGAAACGTAAGTCGTGATTTTGATTTTTAGTTGTATTATTTAAATAGGTAGTTAATGCAATTGCATAGCACTTTTCAGAAATTCCCGTTAAGCTGCTTTCTTCAAGTAAGTAATCCAGTAATGGTTACACCAAAAAGTTGAAATATTCTCAAGAACTGGGTTTTTAACCTTTAATCTGTAGTTTGTATAGCCTTAACTAAGGGTACTTTACTTCCTGTTTCGATAAAACCTGCTTTTAGTTTGTAAGGAATTAAGTTCCTTTCGGCAATGTCAAAGTTATGACATCAATCATGTGAGATCAGAGTTCTATGTAACAATAATATTACACGAGTGGTTCACGTATTTTAAAGAGTCTTCTTTATGAGTCAGTTTAGATGTGCTCATGCTAAGTGCAAACAAAATTCAACATACCTCTCTCCAGTTCCTTAGGGCCATAATGTGAGCAGACTGGGGGACAAGGGGATATTACATTGTTAAAAATCATGATCCAACTCAAGCCAAAGACATTTCTAGCTTGTGTAATTAGGGGCTTGGCTATAATCACAGACTCTGGAGGACTTACTACAATCATTTCACGGAAAGAAGTCTGGTTAATTTAACATCATGAAGATGTGATTGAATGTGTCATGGGATATGTTGGTGTTGAAAGACTGGTGAATGGAAAAGAAAATGTCAGCAGACTAGACAGTGACCAGGCAGAAAAAGTACTCCAGATGCTGTGCACATAAATGTGTATCTGTTCACTTGTCTGGAAATGTTCAGTTTATTGTGAGCTTTAACTGTACATTCGAACAGACGACTTGTTTAGTGGAAGAAATAATTCATTTTTAAATCAATAAAATAATTGAATTAGCAGAGCGTCGTGTAATTATCTCTTAAGTAAGTATCCCTGTTATAAGCAGGATAATCAACAAAGCAAGTGCCAGCAGAGTAAACTGTTTTAACACTGTAATTATCTTGGGCACTGAGCCTGCAGTGGACAATAACAGAATAAACAGCCATGCGGACATGCAGCACAACATCGCTCCCTCTGGTATGATATTGCTTAAAAGACTTAGTGTGTGAAAAATGAAAGTAAGCTTTGTATGCTGTTCTTCAACAGTTGCCATTTCTGGTTTGGCAGTCATTCTTAAGCTGCAAAACCAGAAATGGCAGCTTATAGATGAGTGCACACAGACAATAAATTGACCAATAAACACAGAACAAAGTACCTTGGTGCCCAAATAGACAATCTGCCCCGCATAGCTTGAGACTGACTGGTAGCAGGCCTTTTCTCCAACCAAAGCCTTAAAAAAAAAAACAGACTGTTAGACACTATAAAGGTTTTTGTTAAAAGTTAATTAACCTTATAAAAGCTTAGTTTAAAATAACTTAAACAAATATTCACATGGCAATAAGTTTGTCATTTTACAAATCCAAAAATTTTAACGTGTCGTTTAAAAAAACTGGGAAATTGCCAGGATATATAAATGCTTCAATACAACCAGACTTATTGAAATTCTATGGGTCCAGAAACAAGCTTATGTAGATAATGTGTAGGTTTACATGTAAAAATATATGAGAGGTAACTAGCATCTTGCTCATTTAACACTCAGGGCACAGGTAGAGTACTGTTATGGGAGTGCCGTCCCTGATAGGCTGTATTGCATGGCTGTCAGAGGGGGCGGGCCTTTTTCGTACAGCCAATGGCTGGGGAGTGACTGTCTTGATTAACTGAGGCTTGCAGGTGTGCAAAGAAGGAAAACATTTGGGACTGTGAGATGCTTAGTGGGAGATTGAACAATTGACTGTTCATTGCTTCCCTGTTTTCTTCGTAACAAAGTCTGAGTTAGTGTCGCGTGGTTATGTCATTATACTGAACTACTATCCGACTGAGGAGAACGAGCAGAGTAAGCTGGACCAGAGAGCAAAGCATCACCATGCCGAAGCGAGGCTGCAACAGGTAGGGGCTGTCTCCCTTACCTTAGCTTGCAGCTGCAAGCAATTATGTCATGGGCAGCATAATCTGTCTGTCTGTCTGTCTGTCTGTCTGTCTGTCTGTCTGTCTGTCTGTCTGTCTGTCTGTCTCTGGTCCCTCACCAGAGCCATCAGTCAGTCTGTCCATCCATTTTTAAATTTCTAAATGCTCAAGTTTCTTGAGGTGCACTAATATTTGATAATTTACCTCTAACTTAGCAAATCCAAATTATTATGCATATTGCTTTAAAGTGACAACTGTTCTTGAGCATTTTTCTTAGGCTAAATCTTTACCCAAATGTTTAGTTTGAACTCTGATTATGTCCTCCACCAACTTATCCCTCACCAGAGCCTGGGACACGTTCCCTCCAGTGGCCAGGGATTTGAAATGCCGGCTGTTATAGACCAGTTGAACCTGCTCTAAATCCAAGGTCTCCAAAACCTCCTGACTGGGCCGGTCCACAACCTGCAGCTTCTCATGGCTGTCTACTAGGACCAGAGTGCGATTGTTTATCCACTGTAGAAACACAGAAATGGGACAAGATTAAGTCACGCACGATGCACTACATCAAACAATTTATTTTTTTATTCACACATAAGCCATATCTTTATCATTGTCACTGTCAGGTACTTACACTTAAGCTTATGATGTCACAAACGAGGTTGAGTTGTCTTTGTTTGATGACGTGGATGGTACCCGTGTCCTCTTTCTTTACCTAAAGTTTTTTTAAAACAGAAGTGAAAGAAGTACCGGTATTTCCAAACACAACAGACATCTGAGCTCACTGATAACCCTCTCACCATACACTGTTGCCAGTTTAGCATGTAGGCATATTAAATTAAAAACCAGTATAACTGTACTTTTGCTAAATGTTGCTTAGAGCTGTGCTCATGGTGGGTTACATAGGGTCTTTGTAAATAATATAATAAAGATTAAGGTAAGACCTACTCTTTTTGAAACTTGTCTTGAGATAACATTTGTTAAGAATTGGCGTTATACAAATAAAGATTGATCGATTAACATTTCTCAGGCATCCAAGTATGTATTCAGAAAAACCTCTATTCAACAATCAAACAATAGCTTAAGAGCTGGCTTACTACATGAGAGTAAAACAGATGTGCATATATACCAGGAGGAAGTGGACAGTATCCCCTTTACAAAAAGCCAGTACAGGGTTGACAGTCTTCTGAGTAGGAACAAACTGCCAGGCCAGCTGAGGAACACTGGATGGATCAGACTGGGGAAACAGAATTACATTATATCGGTGGTTAATTTGTTCCATCTAGTTGTTAGTTCCTTCTGACATCTATTCATATTATCTTGGTAATAGCTTTTTTTAAATATATATATATATTAAATATACCAAGCAGTTTATAACAGACTTAAAGGCAGAGTTGGTAATTTCCTCCAGATACACTTTTAAGATTTTGTTGAAATTGTCTTCAGGTCCTGACAGACATTAATAACTTGTGCTCTGACAAAAGGAACGAGGCAAATCCGTCATCTGTAGCAGTTAAAAACTTTGACAGATGTCTGCCACAAGGTACCAATTTGAATACCAAACAAAGGTACCAATCATGCCTCCCTGTCTCCCTGCTCCTTCTCTACCCATGCATGCACAAGCTCACACTCAAAGCATGAGCTGAGGTCCGCTTCTGGACCAATGGCCCTTGTGCATGTAAGTGAGGGGCGTGGTTTTTGAGGGAGCACAAAGGGGAAGTGTGGGCACAGCACTGAGGGAATGCTACTTTCAAAATCATGATAGTTTTCAAAAACTACCAACCCTGCCTTTAACAGTCACTACCATGGGAGGTGGAAGTGCAGCAAGACAACTTTCCTAACCTAGCAACAGAAAGCACCAGTGAGAAGCGCTCTAAAACTTGAGGTTTACAAGCCGTTAATGAACCTGTCCTTGTATCAAACAACTGGGCCAAAAAAAAGGGAAACAAGTAGACTACACTGACCTTGCTGTACGGAAAGGTCATCCAGACTTTTAGAGAAGGCTTTAGTCCAATAACCAAAATCTGTTGGAAGAAAACCAGAAGCCAAAATTATCACAATTTAACAGCTTACATTATTTTTTGGGAAAAGCAGAGGATGGAATTCACACTAGCTCTGTGCTTTTTTGAACCTTTGTGAGAGAGGCCATTGCCAGCAGAGAGTAATGTGTAATAGGATGGTCCCTTAAGTCTGGAGGAGCACGTAATGGTTCAATACAGCAGACCTCCCCTTTAGAACCACTGAAAAGGCATCGTGAGTCACAGGAACGAATTCCCATTACCCTCCTGGAAACACAAACAAAAAACTATTAAAACAATAAAATGTATCATTAACAGAGACACAGAGAGAATGAATGTAAGTCACACACTTCTCTCATTGACAGATTTTTACCATGGCAGCTAAACTTGCTCTTAATGAAGACTCAAAGTTTCTTTATGATTAAGTATGAAAAAGTTCAGTAAGAAATGTTGTAAGACATTTAATAAAGCTGGAGACTCTTCTTCTCTGTCATCCCTGGTCGTGGTCCCTTTTAAAGGAGCAATATGAAACTGACACCTAGCACTTAAAAGGGGTACTAAGATCCACATTCAAAACATTGGAGTGAGCTGTCATCCCCCCCCGCCCCTCCTCCCTGGAATCGATATGCACACAGGTTGTGAACATGCTGTGGACACTGAAGCTTCAGTGTTCATTCAGCTCTGCGTCAGCCTTGAAACCTTCCTGCTCTCTAACCTCTCTTCATTTTTCAAAAGCAGCTCCACTACATATCCTATTTTTGCGTCTGGTCTTGGAGCTTAATAGAAAAATGCCATGGCATTTTAGATTGGGTAGAATCCTATATCTGAACCAGTTCACTTGCCAGCTTCCATCGCTGTAAAACCTGTTGGTTTTATGGTTTTCCTGGCAAACCTAGGAGTGTCCAAAACAGCCTTGTGGCAGTGGCGTTAACTGAGGCAGAATGCTTTGGTGAACAGGTGGCGTTTCAGGAGATCGAGCGCACTCACACGCGCAAAGTTGTCCCGCACCGTTCTAAAGCACACCTCTTCAAAGCTTGATCGAAGCACTTTTTATACATTGGAGAGACTAAACAAACACTACAGCAACCGCTTGCCTGCCTTTGTCAACTTTCTACATAGAACTTGCTTTATTCCATACTGGTTTGCCTCAGCTAAGCCCCATTTCGATGGGGGTCATATTTAGTAGTACTTTATGCTGTTTACCCGGTGCAGAGCATTGAAAACAGCAAGTTAATTTACTTTAAAGTAAATAAGAGTCATTTACCTGAAAACCAACTCAAAAACCGATCCTCCACTGTCATTACACACTGCAAGAGTTGGGTCATCCGTGAACTAATGACACAAGGCAAAATAAATTAAATTAAAAGAATATCAATGATACATCTCATGTAAGCCCAAACCCAATTTATGTTTGCCTCACACTCAGTTGATCTTTTTTTTTAGCTCTATTTCTTTTGAAATGATCGAGTAACAGGAAGCATTGGCACTAGCTGTTACAGAATCCAACAATGCCCAACATGACAGGGCTCAATAAATGATGTAGCATGTGTTTTTGTGCATATCATATGAGTTTACCTTCACATGTAGTATTGCTGTTCCTGGAGGGTGGGCATCATTGATAGTTCTTAATAACTTCCCGTTGGCTAGATCCCACATCATAATCTAATCCAGCAGACAGATAAAAATCATTCTCAAAATAGTTCAGGATATACAGAACAAGTGGGAAACACAATTATAAGTACAATATTAAACACAAAAAAAATAATTCAATAAGAGTTTCTACATTTTTCACATCCTGAAATGATTGGAGGTTAGATTGACAGAAAAAGGATGTAATTGTTATAAAAATACCTTTTTTTTTTTTTAAATAAAAGATTACTTTTGGGGGTTTTGCCTTTATTTGATAGGAAAGCATGAGAGTGACAGGAAATGTGGAGATAATTTGAGGGGTTACATGCACCTAACTGGTCAAGATAAAGCCACAGAAGTCAGCTATTTTTGGACTGTTGAAAGTGGTTATGTTGTAAGGCTCAAATATATATGTGGCACTTTAACACATCCTTATAGCTCCATAAAGCTCTGCAGGAAGGAGCCAATTTTAGGGAAATAAATAACTTTTGTCTGTCCGTTCATATGTTTGCACAGGGGTGTTTTACTGAGCAATCTACCAAATGTGGCCATTGGTTAAATAATCTTATGAGTGTACTGCACATCAGTGTTCTAGTTCTCCTTGTCCCTTCTAAGTATTCATAGTGTGTTTATAAGAATGTATGTGTGCATGTGTCCTTGTACAAACCTGTCCTTTCGCAAATCCACAAAGAAGTCGTGAGCAATCATGGTTGATGCTGAGTGCAGAGACAGCTCCAAACTCAGCTCCAGTTGACTTGGTACCCAGACAGAGCCGCAGAGCCTGGTTGTTATCTGGAGAGAACAATTACTAATACAATGAACTTCTTCAAGCAGTAGAACAGACTCAGGACAAATTGGTTCAATAAACTGAAAAGACAAAATAAATGCTTTCCCAGTTATAAGCTTAGCAGAACAAAAGAACAAAACTGCATACTGATTCTACAGGACATCACAGTTGCACCAAATTAAGAGTCAGAAAATACAGTAGTTTGCTGCTATACTGCTCTCTCTGCTACCGTCAAGCAACAAAGCATCAAAATAAATGAGCCAATAAAGGATATGATTGATGACGTAAGTAAGAGCCTAACAAAATATTATGAGCATTGGTGACCCATTTAACAGGGATGTTCATACCTTTCCCTGAAAAGGGATCATTACATTACAAAAGAGACATTGGCCAGGCCAATCAGTCCAAACCAGTCACATCAAAGCATAATTCCAGTAGGAACTTGATACTAATTCACTTCGTAGTTAAGGAGATCAGCAACAAATATTTTTTAAATTGTGCTGGAAATTACAATAATGATATAACAATAATAAATGCCCTAAACATACAATTTGCTAAATATTTGTTTGGACATGACTTCTGGGTTATTCAATCCAAATTTTTGCTTTCATGAAAAACTAGGTCCAGAGCATGTTTTATGGCATAACAACCTGATGTAAATTGAGGCTTATATCAGGTAGTTCACAATAAATGTGAATGTCCCTGGTTTACTGATTATTTTACCACATGTGGCATATCTTAATGTATAAAACGTTATATTTCACCTGCAGCTCCAACGTTATATGAAGCAATAAGGGTCTTATAAAATTGTTTTTTTTTTTTTTTAAAAAGGTAATTTAAGCAATGAGTATGTCTAATTTAACTGTATAAAAATATCATTGGCTATTTTAAATGAAAGATACCCAAAAATGAACAGGAATCACAGTGTGTTTGTCAGTCTCCCTCATTTCTCCCCTCTCTCAATCAGTGAGATATGACTTTATTCTCGTAAATTTACGTATTTATTCTCGTAAATTTACGAGTTTAATCTTGAAATTATAGATTTTTTTTTTCTTTAAGATGGCCCTTATACTCCGTCGTACATACAAACCTGGTTTCTGTAGAAAAAAAAACTAAATCTCTCTGCCTGACCATTTAATTGTCAAATAAGTTCTGTGATGAAAGCAATATTTGTTTTAGAAAATATACAATATGTTTATGAACACAAAATATTTGGAAAAAAGGAGGGTAATAAAGTTTTGACTCACCAAAGACTAGAGCCAGGCCATGAGACGTTCCCACAGCAATTACACCGGACACTGTCTAAAGACCAACACACCAAAACATACAGCTTAGAACTGATTAGATAAAGCGAAGACAAAACAAGGATCAAACACTGCCCTCATACGATAAAAAACTTGTGAGTGTATTTAGTGGTAGTGAACTTTCTAGCCTTTGCTTTTGTGAGCTGTCATTTTCTTTACTATAATAAATGCAAACATCCTCAAGCTTATTTCTGCATCTTATTTATGATTGACACACAAAATAACAGATCTCCATGTAGATACTCTGGTGTCATTGAAAATGTTCAACTTGGATGTTGAATTTC